TTTCAAAACCAATAAAAGAATATTAAAGTAGTTGAAAATATATATATATATATATATATATATATATTTAGATAATATAATTAGTTAACTAAGCATTAAAATAGGCTTCATCATAAAACAGATATTAATTCAAAATCATATTAGACTAGTAATTTTAGCAGAGCTAAACATGTTTTTGCAAAAATTCCTTCTAAGAAATTTTTTTTTCATTGCTATCATTAAAAAGAATTTGTTAAGAGCTACATTACGCTTTTGTTGTACATACACAGTTAAGCAGAAATCAGATGGAAGAGGATAATTTAAATGAATGAATTCAAATAAGGAATGGCTCTAACTGCGATTAAAAAAATATTAAAATTTTTTTTTTTTTACTGTAAATGTTATGAGAAAAAATAATATTAAAGAATTTGTGTTTGTACATATGCATATTGGTTTGCAGTTATATCGCAGGAGCTTTAATTACAACATTCAAAGTGAAACTTAATGAGTGCAATTTCAAACAAATTGTGAAGCCCGTTTTTCAATTCTTTAATTAGATTTTTAATATTGTTGTTGCAGGTCATGCAGGCAGGGGGGGGGGATAATTTTGCTTTGAAGCGTGCCATCATTGATGATGAGAAATATAGGTCTTAATTCAAAACATTCCAGAACAAATTGTAAACCTTTACCTCAGCTTCAAATGATGTCAAAAATCACCTGAATTTTTTTTTCTGTAAGAAAAGAAAATTTTACGAGCGTGAAATCATGTTACAGCCAGAAAGATGGCAAAAGGTATTATAACAGAATGGACAAAATATAATTCATTAAAATATTTATTCACTATAAGAATATTGTTTAGAAAAAAAATTACTTTCCAAACTACCCAATAGCATATAGATAAATGTAAAATATTTTGAAAATGCTTGTTTATTATTGTACAATTTTTTCTGATAAAATTATTTTCTGATAAAATGACAAAAATTTACCTTCCGAATTAGAAGAGATTGCAAGCTCATCAAAAGGCTGCAAAATTTCACTTCCAACAACATCTTCTTTTTGTATTTTTCCAGCAAATGTATAAAAAACCTCCGCTAAAAGAAAAATAATTTATAAATGACCCAGAAAAGAAGAAATATTTTAAGTGAATGCAGGGCCAGTGACCAGCATTTCCAAATGCAGGGGTCTGTCTAGGTTTTTTTTTAGATGTATCTATTTTGTAACAATTTAAACATAATTTGTGAAATTTAAAAATTATATTCAAAAATCAACACCAAAATATGGTAAAATAAGAAAATATTTTCAAAAATATTTAAATATTTTTTGAAATTTAAAAAAAAATTTGTATTGAAACTACTATTTTTCCTAAAATTGAATTTGCGAAAGTACCGTTAATGGCAGCAAATTTGCCCTGAAAAGACCCCGGAAATTTGTGATATGTATACTCATTGAAAATGAAGATATTTTTTGTGTTACGCAAAAAGTTTGCTTCAATGCTAAAAATATGCAATTACCATAGATACATAATTACCATAATAGATATATAAATCAAGCTCAAATAACGTCACAAAGACCAACATATTATAGTTTTGGTTCTATAATCAAGAACCTTCCTCAGTGTCAACACACAAAGTGAACTCTGTGTATTGACAATGAAGAAAGTTATTGAAAATAGATCAAAAACTCTTAATATGTCTGTGTTTGAGACGTCATTAGTGCTTAATTCTATATATATATATATATAAGTTCAAAATGAAGATAAAACAAAGGAAAATTACAGACATATGAAAAAAAGGGGGGAAAGAAAACTAATAATAATAAAAAAACTGACCAAAATTTTTTTTTTTAAAAATCCGGAAAATAAAAGATATAATCTTTCCATCAGTCCACACGATTATATCCGCAAAAAAGAGTGCTTTCTGATATTGTATCAATATCGCTAAAGCAAAATATATTAATACAATAGTGTGAGGGGCACTCAAAAAATTTTTTTACTAAAATTACAACAAATAAAATAGAACACAATAAGTAAAAATAACACTTAAAAATAGAAATAAAATAAAATAAAAAGAAAAAACAGAATAAAACATAATCTACAAAGCGAGTGGCGAATTCAAATTTACTCACATGCAAATGTAAGTACATTTGAAATAAATGTAATGTAAATGAAACTTATTGTTTTTCTTAATTTTCTTTGTGTTTTTTTGTATTTTATACNAAACACAATTAAGTATACTAGGCAATTAAAATTGTGTAATATTCAAAACAGGAAGAAAAAAAATATCCAGACACAATGAAAATATTAAGAAATTATTTTAACTAAGATTATAAGAAACCATTATACTCCAAAACACATGTGCTAAAGGTGTTGAGGAAAATTAAAACCGAGTTAACTTTCCAATTTCGTCAATCATCTTTTGGCCTAACTTAAAATTTAGGTTTAAATTTACACTGTCCACAAATGCCTAAACCACAACCTACATTGATTTATGATGCATTATCAACAATCTAATAATTTGAAAAGATGGCTGTTGATGTGGTAGTGAACTTGGTCTAGGATAGAATTTTGTTATGACTCTACGGAATAAAAAAGTTTTCCGTTTTTTATTTTTAACTAACTTTAAGCTCTCATTTACTTATTATTTGTGTAGGAACAGCCAATAGAAATATGACCTACAGCTTTTGCTTCCGGACACGTTGTTATAACAAAACTTGACACTTGTTTTGTTCAAAAGTATGTATAATTGTTGCTGGTTGCTGATGCGTTACAACAATTTTTATTGTGTTTTTGCTATTCATGTCTTTTTGTTATAATATATATATATATATATATTATTTTAATTTTTTTAAAAGTTGAAATGAAGTAAAAAGTATATGGAAAATGTTAATTCAAAAAAGGATGAAATGTTTATTTTGATGTATTTGAGATGCTTATCAATAGTTAAATTTGATACTATTGTTTCGCCTGCACATTTTTATACCTTGATAAATGTAGTATATAATCTTTATANTATATATATATATATATTATTTTAATTTTTTTAAAAGTTGAAATGAAGTAAAAAGTATATGGAAAATGTTAATTCAAAAAAGGATGAAATGTTTATTTTGATGTATTTGAGATGCTTATCAATAGTTAAATTTGCAACTATTGTTTCGTCTGCACATTTTTATACCTTGATAAATTAATACCTTGATAAATGTAGTATATAATCTTTATAAATGCATTAAAAGTCTGTAAGTTATACCTTCTAAGCCTACATTTAATATATCTTCAAAAATGATTTCCTAGATATATAATTATTTTAAAGTAAATCCTTTATGCACACTAATACAAAATTTTTCTTCCTTTTGTTGAAAGTTCTTCATGAATACATTTAAAAAAATGCATAATAATTTCCAAAGACTTTACAATGGTCATGATAAAATTTAACTAATTTCTGGTCTTTTCTTGATTACATTAGCCACCATAAAAACAATTTATATACAATTTTGAATATTTTCAACATTGAGTGTCTCATTCAATTTTTAAATTAATAATTACTCTATTTAATTATTTAAAAAAAATTTAAACCAAAATTATAATTTAACCACTATTTAAAAAGGTTATAGTTTATTTTTTTAGTTTTAAACTAAAGTTATTTAAAGCTTAAACAAAAATTATCAAGATTAATATCATTGACAATACTAAAATACAAAGAGGTAAGCAAGCTAAGAAAACTCTAATAAATTCATATCACCTACAAATGTAAATAAGAGAATGGCCCCTAAAAAGGTTTATTGTTATTTGTTACTTGGTTTAGTATTTGTTCAATGAAATGATTAAAAAAATTTAAATAATTTTGAAATGTAAATACATTTAGTATTGAAGCTAAACATTTTAGTTAGAAGTAAATTATTATAGGGTCTCTACACGAATAATATTAAACAAATCTGAGGTAATAGAATATTTTGATTTTAATGGGTTTTAAATAAAATCATTAAGAGATGAATTAAAGTTTTTTGGAATGACAAATCTGAATTTTTAAACATAAGATCTTTTTGCCTAAGATCTTGGAATATTGAAAGCCCCTCTTTTCTCACTTTTAAAAACTTGCCTTTAAATATTACTGAGTTATCTCATTAAAACAACTTAGGAGTGCCTAAAATTTTAAAATGTAGAAAAAAAAGTGCTAAAGCACAATAAAAGATTACAAACTTTTATGTAATTGTTATACGGTCTCTTAGGTAAAAATATTACGCTTAAAATTTTCAATTAATTCTTACATTTAATGAATAAAAGGAAGATTGAAATTTTGAGGTGAATGAAGCTTTGGGATTTTTCACTGCTCTAGTGACCCACATGAAAATACATAACTCTTGAATAATCCCCAAGTCAAGGTTAAAATTTATGGTACTGATCTATAAATAGAATATCGCGAGAAGGCCATTAGATTGCCAATGACAAAGAAGATGGCGCTTCACCAACGAAGAAATTACCAAGAGAAATAAAATTTTCCATCGCTATTGGGGGAACAAAGTTGGAAACGTTTAGTGGATCTCCCCAATCAGCGAAAATTCAAGAGATTTTTGGCTCAATTTCAGGAGGTGGAAAATGAAGCCTGATATTGAGAATCTCTTGCAAAATGAATCAGAGTTGTACATGAGAAGGCAAGAATCCATCCCACTGAATCCAGCTGAGTATACGCACGTGCGGACCAGCAAGTATATCCTTAAATACGAAAACGACTGTCATTTTCATAAGCTATGGAAAGATGGTACGCATCGCACAGGGTTGTCTTCTTGCCGGCAGAAACTGGTTATAACCGATAAAAACTGGCAGAAACTAAAAAAAACGTCTATATTAGTTCTAGTAATTGCTTAATGACATTGTGTTTAACTAAACTGAAAAATGTAACTCCATGTAACTGCAACAAACTTTTTAATTCATTGTTTGTAAATATATATTATTGTCATAGCTTTGCAAAACAAATCGGCCCCATTTCCTGAAACTTATTTTTCCAGTCACGTTTTGACAACTACCCCAGCTGCTACATGGTGGTCTAGTTTTAAAAAATATTATGCAATAGCGGAAAGTTTTACAAATCTTGCTTGTTCCTTAAAGGCAATGCCTCCTTATTTTGCTGAACTTGAGAGAATCTTCTCAAATTTCTCGTTCGTGTATAGCAAACTGCATCAAAACTAGTCTTTTATTATAGATTACTGCAGAGTGTAAACAATGTAATATTTGATTTTGAATGGTGATAATTTTGTAAATAAATTGTAATTTGTTTAACATTTAATAGTTTTTCTATGAATTATCCATTGTATGTCAATCTCAGTACTTACTTTTATGACATTTTCTGAATTTCTGCCGCAAATGTGGCAGAAAAAGGTTACTGCCATGTCAGTTTTAACCGGTTTCTACCAGTGGCTTTAACAACCTCGGCAGAAACTTGCCAACCTTGACGCCACAATAGATTGGGGTTGAACTAATTACGAAAACATTGAACAGAAAAAATTTCAATTCATAGCAAAAATCGACATGGTCCAAACCATTTCCAAAAATAACTCATTTTGGAAAAGGGAAAATGAAGCACTCTTTAAAAACAACCAATTAAAAAAGCAACTTCAAGGGCTTTTAAAAAACGAGAATTGAAAACAAGCACCTTTAAGCACTTTTTGAAAATGCCACACACCCTATTCAACAAGCAAGGTGGCAGTAGAAAAGGAGGAATACCTCCACTCAGTGACATTATCATGACTATTATTATTGTTATGACACTGAATAAGATTTAAAAACATTGAAAGCAACTAATCGGAAAATACAGGCATATGACAGACTCTGATGGAAAGAACTTAGTTTGTTGGCCTTGGAAAAGACTTCTCAAACTCTCCATTTACGAACAAATTTTCGTTTTAAAATTATGCATGGCACCATAGAGATGTTATAGCATAGATCAGTTCTGCTGTAAAACTATTTCTTTTTGAAAAAAAAATAAAATAACATCCAGTATGCAAGGTTAGAATAGAACTTTTACTAAATTTTATATACTGAATACCTAAAAACTGCACAAGAAACAAGCTTTTAATTTTACTGTCTATTTATATGCAAGTCTAGATTTCTCAACTGATGAATAATTCTAGATCTATTTGGACTCTATAAATAAAAGATTTACAATACTCTATTTAAACACAATTAAGTATACTAGGCAATTAAAATTGTGTAATATTCAAAACAGGAAGAAAAAAAATATCCAGACACAATGAACAGCATTTTTAAAAGAATAATAATTAATATTATTTATGTGATTACTGTAAAATTTGTCAAAAATATATTTAGGAAGATGATATACAAATATAATCAATAAAAAACATAACATATAGGGAAAAGTTTGGTCTATAAAAATACCAATTATGAATTGTATATTGGAGAACTTCCACTTTTTTGTATTTTTTGTTTAAAAAACTAAATGTTCTGATAAGTTGTGGATCGTTAAAGCAAGTTAATTTTCAATACAGTACAAAAAAACTTCTTTGATTCATTATAAAACTAAAATGATTAAACCCTTAAAGGATTATTAAAATTTAAAGATGTTAAAAAAATTCTGGTAAATTATTTTCCTATTTTTAAAATCTCAAGAAAAAAGAAAAACTTACTTACTATTATCTCGAAGAAAAAAAAAAACAATAAAATAATTGTGGGTCCCTTTGATCTTCATAATGAATATACTTTTAATTGAAACACCCATTCATTTTTCTTTTTTGCTACGAAGCTCTGATGGTTCTTTGTCTTTGTTTTAATTTGTAGCCAATAACCACAAAGCAAATTTACCACTTTTTAAAATTAAGGATTTTTCCTTTTTTTGATGTCAGAATTCTGACACTGGTTTTTTACATCTCAACAAGGGATTTAAAATAGAGAATGCTAATGCTAGTAAAAAGCATTTAAAGAAAAAAAAAACAAACAGAATTAAAAAATACTCCTGTTTTCTCAAGTCTATGTAACCACTATTTATAAGTCATATAGAATTTGGAATGATAGCTCAAAGAAACTTTTAACTAGAATGGCTAGTAATTTGTTAAGGTGTTTTGAAATCCATGTTGCTAATCTTTCATTGGATAAGAATACATTATTTGGTTTGTTTAAAATGAACTTAATCATTTTGGCTTAAATATATTCTAGATAAATTATTTTTCGAAAAATTCAGATATAGAGATAAATACACAACACGAATCTTCCTGATATTTAGTCATAGAGTCACCAGTTTTCTTGTCTTAAAATTTCTCTCTCCATTTTCCTTTACTGATAACTATAATCTCAAATATTCAAATTGTTCTCCAATCAAACGGAAAAAAATTATTTATACGCATTATACATACGTGCAGTTGAGGGTTAACATAAGTTTAATTCTTCTATACATTTATTTCAGAAAAATAAGGTAATAAATTACAACAAGTTCATTAAGATAAGACTATATATATGACTTCAGTTGCCATCAAGGACTATTTTTGTATTTAAAAAGTGCATTAGATTGTTTCATGTTTAGAAGAAATTAGAGAACTTTTACTTACTGTCTCTATAAACTGGTTTAACAGAAGAACTAGATGCTGTGTTCTTCCTTAGATCCTCTCCATCACTTTGAGCTGCAAAGAATAAGGATTTAAACTAGATTAATTATAGCTATTAAAACCAGTTTAGATTGAAAGTATGATATATTTCTGATTCTCAGCGAACATTTCCTAGCTGCCAACTTTCCCAAATGTGGGAGAAAATTTCACTGTCATAAAGTGGTAGCAGCAAATTTTAGGCTTAAGCATTCAATTCTCAGATTAAAGTTTGGGTTCAAAAATTCTCCATTTCATTAAAGATTAGTTTCGGCTCATTATTTCATTACCACTAAAAACACTAACTGCAAAATGCTTATAGCTAGGGTCATAAATATCAGAATAAGTTCTAGCTTAGTTACAAATATATTCAACTGCTTCTTTTGTATTTTTCTCCTTATTGTTTACAATTTATTATTAGAAACATAGGCTTTTATGTAAGAACGAATAACAAAAATTACTAGAATTTACCAATATTTGTTTATTTTGCAGAAATTAGAAATGTGAAAATTTTATCCCCTTTGCATTTCTATTGCAAAACATGAAACTCAAAAAAAAAAAAAAAAAATCTATTTTTGCTTTTTAAACAATTATTTTGAAAACATAACAGTTTTTAAAACATTTTTAACATGAATTTAAATTTTTGGTCAATTATAATACTTACTTATAAACATTTTACCCCCCTTTAGCTATTTATTAATTTTGAATCAATCATTCTATATAATTATTTCCTTACACTAATTATTTAATACTGCATAACATATTTCTAAAATATATCTGCATCTTTAAAAGTTGGTTCTTAAAAGAAATTTAAAACAAGCAAGATACACAAAATATTTAAAATGCAACACAATATAATATTCAGAGTGATAAATTTTTACTAGCTTTGTATAAAAAATAATTTTAAAAGGAAATTTAAGACATGAAGTAAATAGAATTTAAATTTTTAGACTTCGAAGGGATAATAAGAGAAACTCACCCACTGTTTCAGTAGCAGACTTCTTTTCCAGTCCCCATTTACTAAGTAGGTCAAAGTCAATACTATTTTCATCATCTTCAATTAAGCATGCTATTACAAATTTTGTACAAAATTAGTTTTATACAAATTATAAAAGAAATCACAATATTTTCCTTTATATAATTTTTATCATGCTTCATAAAAATAAAAATAATTCAGAGGTAAATAACAATTACTTTAACATAAAAGCTTTATCAACTTTGTAATCGGGTCAGGAAAAAAAAAATTACAATTCAATAGACAATAGTTGTGTAACCCTAAAATTTTGAGAGATAAAATTATAAAAAATAATCTTACTTTATTAATGAATCATTAACTTATCATTATTAATTAAGATTAACTTGCTATTAATATATAAATATCTACACAAATTAAATTTAAAAAAAAACCTAATTCATCTGAGTTTGTTCTACATTAGATAATAATAATAAATGCTAAAATTCAGTTATTAATAAATTTATTAATATCTCTTACTATTTATTAATACATATATCTCTTACTATTTATTAATACACAAATACTCTGCATTACAGGCACTAGTTTATAAAAGAAAATCTTTTCAAGAGTACTAAATGATCTCAAGAAACTAATAAAAATAATATATGCATTCTGAATTCAATAGTAGTTAAAATCTTATTTAATCAACTAAATAAAATAATATTTCTGAAAATAAAATACAGCAAATATGGGTAGGATTGTCCTTTTATTGATAAATATTTTTTCCTATTTGTATTTTTTTTTGCATATTAATTAAAAAATTATTAAAAAAAAAAGCAAATGAAAAAATCTGATCCGTCAACATATAAAAAAAATTAAAACATAAACATCACTGAGAGAAAAAACATTAAAAAATTTATTAGAAATTTATATCTTCACAAAACAAAATTATAAGTATTCTGAAAATATTTATTAAAATACAAATTTAATGTTAGTGAAAGGCAATCATAAATATGAAAATATTAGTGTTACAATTAATAGGAATTAAATCCTATCAAAAGTAAAATAATCAAAGATACAAAAAGTAAACTTTATAATCTAGAAATCTAGCGGAGTGGGAATATTTCATAAAGTAAATTAGACAACAAAAAATTTATGTAAATAACAATATTGTTTTACTCTATATTGTAAGAAAAATGAACAAATTAGAGGTATAAACATTAATGAGAAGGGGAAAAAAGGCAAAAACATACTAGGACAAAAAGGAAAGCATAAATTTTGGAAATATATTCTGCTTTCCTATTTTTTGGTCCTAAACACTAGGTTTCACTGTATTTAGAAAAAGCGTAAATTTATAAAGAATTTAAATTTTTTTTAAAGCTGATTTTCTAACAGAAACTTACACTCGGCAGGCTCAGGTGATGTTGAAAGATTTTCAGAATCACTGTCTTCATTTCTATCAGAAATAAAAAGATCACCAAAAAGATCTCTCAAAAATGAAACTGAAAGAAAAATCACATAAAGAAGATGTTCATTTGAGCTGAAATATCAGGATGAAAAAATTTATTCATAAAAATCTTCATAAAAACATTTTGGTAGACAAAACAAACTCTAATTTGAATTAAACTGAAAGAAGAGTATTCTGAAGATAAATATTTTGGCAAAGAATTTCGTAGGAGATAGATATACAGACATTTCTTTTTACGCAGTGAAAAAGTAAGAACTTTTATTATCAAAATGCATTCGTTTCTAAACACATATAAAATTGTGATGTCCTAATATAATTTTATGTCACATTGATTAATTAGTTAAGGTTGAATACTATCGATTAATCTATTAGTATGTAGAAGACCAACTGAAAAAACAAACAAACTAAAGCTAGATTCTGTCAATCATGACATATCTTGCACTACCATCATATTATTTAGAAAAATTGTCATTTTATGAAGATTTCAAATTGCTTTAAAGCTTATTTTGTAATAGAATCTTACTCTCGGCTGGGTGAGTTGATGTTGAAAGATTTTCTGAATCTCTTTCTAGATTTCTATCAGGAACAACAGGATCACCAAAAGGATCTCTCAAATATGAAACTGAAAGAAAATCAGATAATGGAGATGTTCATTTAAGCTCGAATATCAGGATGAATAAATTTATTTATAAAAAACTTAATAAAAACATTTTGGTAGCCAATATAAACTCTAATTTGAATTGAATGGAAGGCAAAATACTCTGAAAATGAATATTTCTGACATCAATTTTCTAAAAGATAGATGTTATATATATATACTATTCAGGGGCGCGACAGCCCATAGAGGGCCAAGGCCTACTGCGCCCATCTCAGTTTTCTTGACCTTGGGCTCTGTGGTGCCGGAGCAGATGTTCCGGTTAGGTGGTCAGCCGAACGCGAAACCCCCAGTGTTTAGTTCCCAAGCATGCTTGGTACTCATTTATCGACCAACTGAAGGGATGAAAGGCTGAATCAACCTTGCCCGGCCCGAGGATCGAACCCAGGACCGGTGGCACAGGAGCGCAAAGCGCTACCACTGAGTCACCGGGCGTCATATATATATATATATACAGTGAAAAATAATGTACTTTCATTAATAAATTGTAGTACTTAATAATTTTGAAAGTTAAAACACAAATCAATAAAAAAACGAAGAATTTATAAAGATATGCATATTAACAAACCAGCACTTCATCAGGAGACACACTGTATTCTAACACTTGCTTAAATCAGCTTAATTCTTTGATTAACTGTAATACATATTTACTTATCCAATCTATACAAGGTTGCCACTCAAAACTGCAAAAAAAAAAAAAAAATCTCGGTGTTTTCACTGTATATTAGGAATAACACACAATTATGGTGTTCATGTGTTGTTCTTAAAATAACAATACTCCTTATACCTACCGAAAAAAATCAATATATTATCACACTTAGAACTGAGCAAGGCTTGAAAATACACAACTTAAGTTAAAAGAATGAAAATACTTATAACTTACCTCTAGACTACTAAAAAAATTAAAAACTCTGGTGAAATAAAATAAAGAGCCAACAATAATGCCCATACAGCAATGCACCATAGATTATATGTAATCTACAAGTATCCAGATCTTATATTTAACAATTATTTGCAGACAAAAGTTCTTCTTTTACATGTTTAAGAAATTTTAAACTGACATTCAGTCCATCCATGCTAATTTAGAAAAGTAACTTAAGTCTGACTCAGATACAACTTTCTTAAAATTTTGTAAAAGTGCTTATGCAGTAGTACACCTTAAAAATTCAGAATTAAAATATTTTGTAGATATTTTATTAGTTGAATTACACACATACCTCCCTACAAGTCTCATTCAACATTTTTGTGAAATATGATTTAAGTCATTACAAGTGAGGTGAGGCATTTTCGTATGGCTCAACATACACTTTTTCGCAATATCACTATCTGTAAACATCTGTGGAAATATATCTCTATTTGCTCATTTAAAGAACAAAACAACTGCAAATTAGCATTCTATGTCAGAACAGATTGAATATTGCAGTTCCTGTTAAACAAAATTCATTCTAGTTTCTTTACCGGAACATACACCCAGAAATTTCATGCTCCTTATGAGGAGATGTATTGGAATATAGATGCATGTACAATGTCATATTTTGGGAGAAAGAAGTAAAATATGAAGAGAGGTACTACCTAGAAGGGAGGGAAGGGGGAGGGAGAAAGAAGAACAGAATGGAGAAAAAGAAATGAATGACTGACGAGCTCCCGTGGTTGGACAGCTGGCATGGTTGCTTTTATCTTTTTTTGTAATGCAAGTTATGATTACACTCTTTATTATTGTCAATATTTTAAAGATATTGGATTTTTCAAAGAAAAAAATATCTCTGCATTTTACCAGTTTTTAAGAAAAATTAGAAATTCTCTAAATTTTCTCAGCTTTTTAATGTTTATTTTAATTCTTTCATTTTCCTGGTACTGCTGGTGCCATGGCAAACCTGCTATAGTTGAAACCAAATGCATATTATCTGCCCAAAAATCAACAATGTAACTGCTAGAGGACAACACAATTTTAAAGGGTCATTCAACACAAAATCTGCACATTAAGTCACATGATAATGAAGTGAAAATTGTTATTGCTTTATTTTCAATTTAAGATGAATTTTTTTTTTATTTATTTAAAACTTTTAAAAATAATGTTTTGTTTATAAATCTGTTAACAGAAAGTGTTATATTATTACTGGGAGCTGTAACAAGGCAGAGTTGTATTAGTATGATTTATATCATTTACAATAAAATTTATCTGAACACATGTTATTTTTGTAGTTTTTATTTCTTACAAAATATTTTTAACAAATTATAGTCATAAAGAATTAGAAATACCTTTAAAATCTGAGTCAATTAAATAATAGCTATTGGAATCATGCTTATGTGTATCAATAGGATCAATATTAGTATTATGAATATTGTTAAAATTTCAATTAAATTGGATGAAAATTGATGAGCATGTGAGTTTGAAAAACTATCAAAGTAAGTTTACCTAAAAATGTTTAGCTCATTTGCATATCAATGAAAAGTTCATTGGGTATACACACAAAGTGTCATTTACATGAGTTTTTACTTTCAACTTTAGAACAACGTTTCTAAATGTGCATACAGTTGTGCAGTACTTATACAACTTTATTTTCCTTGATTCATTAGTTTTGGCAAAACTTTTATAGTTACTTAAAAAAACACTAGTTGAGAAAGCCACACATATAATGAGATGTCATCAACTATTATGCAATTTGATCTACCACAATAATTTTTTTAGAAAAAGAATGCTTTGGCAAAAAAAAATAAGAAAAAAATGAAAATTAAAAGGAATATTTTTCAGAAAAAAAGCTGATTTAGTAATAATAACTCACACAAGACTTGCTCAATTATTGTTAAAGGTTGGCTTGAATCTTTTTTTGCATTTCTATCAGGAACAGAATGATCATCCAAAGATTCACTCAAAACTGAAAATGTAAAACAAAAGCAGATTAATAAAGTGTTAATTGAAGCTTGAAAATCAGGGTAAGAATATTTATTCATAAAAAATTTCTTACAAACATTTTGATAGATAAAAGAAGGTGAGCTAAGTATCTAAGCTTTAAAAATAGTGAATAAAAAATAATTTCTTTAAAGATAGTGACATTAAGTGAGAAAAGTTACTCATTTAAGTAATTAGCATATTTTTATTTAGATCCCATTCCTACATTAAACTAAGTAATTCTCCCTATTAACAATATTTATTTAATTCCATACAATATTTAATATAATATATTTAATTTGATACAATATTTAATTAGACAAACCGTAAGTACAATATTTATAAAGTTTTATCTTAACCTATGTAGAAAGTGTAATAACTTACTTTAACAATATTTATTAAATCCAGGTTACAAAATAAATAGCATCTAAAGTATATTTCCCATTAAAAGAACTCATAAAGGCTTACATATTTAATTTCTAATCATGTTAAAACTTAAAACAAATATGGATAACTTTCTTATGTCTGAGCTTCAACTTCATCGATAACAGTGTTGTGGTATTTTTTATTTAGATTTTCTTGCATGAGATCAGCCGGCTAAAACGAAGCTGAGTTCGTGAATGACATAGCTTGTGATGTAATGGTGACGATGGATGGTGGGTAATTCAACTTTCAGTCAATCATAGATTGACACATGTCTAGAGTTTTTAGAATGTTCTTTTCTGAGTATTTAAGCAGGAATTCCAAAACATGTTTTCTCAACACATCAATGGTTTTAAATAAGTTCCCGAGTTTGAAAGCTGCTGGACCGCCATGTTATTAACAAACAATTATTCGTATAATTACCCAAGATGATTTTAATCAACTGTTTTTAACTTTAATATTTTTGAGATCAATAAATTAAAATTGATTCTAAAATTTAATCATCATTTTCAAAATACTACACATCAGTTATATTTTATTTTCCAACTTAAAGGGAAACAACTCACATCCAGCCCTGCGTTCATAATCACAATATTTACTGTTAATTAATTAAAAATATAAAACAAAGTAGTTTTACAAAAAGATATTTACGTCCACTATCAGGAACAACTCCACTATCAGGAACAGATCCACTATCAGGGACCACTCCACTATCAGGAACAGCTCCACTATCAGGGACCACTCCACTATCAATGATCATTCCACTATCAGGGATCACTCCACTATCAATGATCATTCCACTATCAGGAATAGCTCCACTATCAGGGATCACTCCACTATCAATGATCATTACACTATCAGGAACAGCTCCACTATCAGGAATCACTCCACTATCAAGGACCACTCCACTATCAGGAACAGCTCCACTATCAGGGACCACTCCACTATCAAGGACCACTCCACTATCAGGAATCACTCCACTATCAATGATCATTCCACTATCAGGAATAGCCCCACTATCAGGGACCACTCCACTATCAAGGATCATTCCACTATCAGGCTGACAATCCACCTCTTCGTCTGTAATTAAAGGAAAAAATATATATCAATGCGTGGGAATCAGCAGTAATAAATCAATAAAAAATTTTGTTAAAAATAGCAGGGTGGGAAAATAACTTATTATTGTTTCTTTGAAATATATTTAGTTCATCCCGTGACTTCAGTAACAATCAGAAAAATAATAGTTTTTAATAAGAAAACTATATTGACAGAATATATATCTAGATACTATAAATGGGAAAAGTTCAAAATACAATCAAAGAAATATGATCAACATAAATTAAAAAAGGATATTTTTATTACTGCTGGGGATACAATCTTTACTTGTGCATACTATTAAATAAAATAATTTGAGATGATTTGGGAAGCATATGTCACGAATATCTAGGCACCCCAAATTAAATTTTATTTCTTGAAGAGTTTATCTTAACATTTAGAAAATCTGAGACTGGTTAGAGCACTAAGTTGTTATTGGGAAGGACAGAAGTTCGACTTCCAGTGGCAGTTTGAAACACACTCAACTAAAAGCTGTTTCAGATTCATGAGTACCAGCTAATGATATTTACAAACCTATCAGGGAAGTAAAGGCAGCGTGTATGCAATGGTGAGGTGAACAAATAATCATGCCGAGGATCAGAAATTTGTGTAGCCTTAAGAATGCGCCATACAGCTGAAGAAAACTCTTCTAACAAAGTATTTTTTTCCCTCCTCACTAATTTAAAATTTAAAGTGTAAAAAAAAAAGTGCGTTTTGACACACCTTGAGTAAGCCATGAAGTTTCAAATACTGAAAAAAAAACATTTTAAAATATACAAATGAAAATAAATTATGAGTAGATAACTTAGGATTATGCAATGGTGAAGTTCTCTTCAAATAATTTGTTTGCATCCGCAACCTCCTCTTAACCTCCATGCACCACCTTGACCTAGAAGAAGCTGCTATAGGAAATGCTTTGAAATTTTACTTATTCAAGTTGTAGGTTTTTTGAAGAATAACAAATTTTGTTTTAGTCTATTTCATATTAATTTTATCCATTATGATATCACGGGTTCAAAATATGTTGGAAAGAAATATTTTTTTAAAAAAAGAACAAAGTTAAATAAAAAATCCTTTCTTTCTCAAATTGAAAATAATTAAAAAAGCAGAATGTTTTTTGAATTTTTACATGCAACAATGTAAAATTCCGTGTCAAAAAGAGATTACTCAAATTTGCATCATATAATAACATCTTATAAATATTAAAAAAAGTTTGATTTTTGATAATAATATTATACATAAACAAATAACATAATATAAAAAGTAAACATTTCATTTGCGCTTTTTCTTTTGAAAAAAAAGTAAGGACTTTAAAGCACTTAAAACTAAATCGGGAACTTTTAAGGTGTGAATGAATTCTATGCAAAAAGAAAATCCAATTCAAGAAGAAATACACAAAATTCCATGTCCTAACAGCAGATAAAAAAAAAAAGTTCAGATAGGTGAATAATTATATTATTCTGTGTGATTCGCTTTCTTGCACATCAGGATCCTTTTAAAGCTGCTTATTTTCATCATAATTTAGATTTTTTCCTTAGCCCCTCCCATTTAAGTGAATGGTTCTGATGAGAGCAGGTGAACCATAATATATCATGGGTTCAATGAAGGGGTGAATATGAAATCTTTCAATTGAAAGAAGGGGTGAGAATTATGCCCATATAAGAAACTTTCAAACTGAACCTAACATGCAATTCATCAAACCTGTCAGCATATTCTGATAGCGATTTTGCAGCCAACTGCATGTTCCCATGTCTAGCAGAGGATCAAACAGCAATATCTACAGGCTGATTCAATTAGCTAGACCAGTCAACAAGTATATGCAAAGGCAAAGTGAGTTGGGCGAAATCTGAAAACACCACTCTCCATCAGAAGACAAGAATCAAGTTCTCCGAAATGACGTGCAAACACAAAAATACTATTATGTGACATCAAACATTGGGATATAAAATCAATCATCATGTTATATCAGTAGCATACTATTGAGCTGAGTGAAAACCTAATAAGACCACTCTTCCAAGGGTGACAAAAAATTGTAAAATATTTTACAATAGCATATAAAGCCACATTTTACCACACATCTAGTACCAATTGATCAACATAATCAATTGATCAATGTGAATAAGTCAACAACGGTTGACACATGTCATACCAGAAATTTGCTGTCTTAAAATAAAGATATACAACAAGATATACAGTAAATAAACCTTAAAGGTTGGTCTAGTTAAAAATTATGAAAACAACAAAATTTTTCTTAATATAAGATAATATTACGTGGGTCAAGCACAGGTGATATTTCAGACCAGTCAAGTGCATCTTCCTTATTTCTTCCCGGATAGTGAATACCAGGAAAATAATAAAAGGCTGAAAGTAAATTATGGATTAGAAATTAGAAAGTATTTGTATGAATTGGAAAGTATTCATTTAGGCATAAAATTATTCTCAATATCATTCACATTTCTCAATATCATTTCAGTCGAAAAGAAGTACTTTTCTGACAGAAGTCTCAAAGTTTTTTTATTTTACTATAAATTATAAGTGAATGTTTTGAATGTAGCAAATCTTCACTTTTTTTGCATTGATTGAGATTTTTGTACAATTTCATAAATTTTTTAAAATAAATGAATGAAAGAGAATTATGCATGAAAAAAAAACGTTTTTTAAAACAAACTGATGAAATAGTTCATCGAAGGTGGATTAGTATTTATAGTTAATACTAATCCAAATATATTATTTTTTTTAAGAAAATCGATATTTTTTGAAGAAATTTACATCTGACCTTAAAAACATAATAATGAAACATTTGGTTTTAAACTTATAAAGCTATTAATTTGTTTCATTTATAAGAAGTTAATTTAATTTTTTGAAGAATATTTTTTATGAAAAAGGAAGATTTGTTACAGTAGATTTTACGAAACAATATAAATTTCATGATAACAGTTGCAAAATGTACTAAATATTTTAGGGATATCATAGGGAATTTTAGGGATTTTAATAACCAACAAAATGGAAAAACTGCAATATTTTCCAGTTATGATAAACATTAAATGAACTTGAAATGTTATCTATTATGTTTACTTATAATTTTGAATAGCAACAGGCAATTAATTGATCAAAGACAGTAAACTGATTTTTATAGATGAGGCTTGCTTCATTATGGATTATTCAAATATTCAACCGAGCAATAATCAGCGCAAAAAATTTATTTCAATAGGGATTTTTTAAGGAAACTAACTCAAATTTAGGGAATTTCGTTAAATGTTCAAAAACCAGGAGAATTTTTATTAAATCAATAGGCTAGGAGAAACGGGCAAAATCCAGTAGTCTACTGGAAAATGCAGTTGAGTTGTCAGCTATGTATTTGTAATTTAGTAAATAATTTCTTTATTTTTTTTACTAGGGTTGGCTGGTTTAAACCAATAGTTTTTTTCCAAACAAATCTGTCAATCAGGCAAAAGCATAAGTAGAAAAGAGGTAGTTATCTGAATTTTATATTTCAGTTTAGTTTTTGGATTTTTTGTCAGCTATCAGTGTCAACAAATTTTTATTGTATGTCTGCAGTATTTTTTATTTATTTATGAATCTAATATTTTCAAAATAAAATGCTTAGTTAAAAGCATAATTCTTGATCAAATTTTTTTTAATTCTCTATTGTCTAATTTGATAAGAGCTAAATAGAATCAGTCAAGTACAACCTAGTATTAACCAAGCATAAAATTCAAAGTAAAAAAAAATCCATGTATTTATGCTTAAAAAAGAATAAACTCGGTATTCTGTTTTTAAATATCTACTATTGATAAACAATTTATAATAACCAAACATTAAGCTGTTACTCAATATGCCTTTTAAATCATATCAAGTACCAGAAGAAGACCATTTCACAGCAGTCCCAAAAAAGTTTTGAAATCATATTTTTCGGATTGGGACACCTATTTCATTTTGAGGATTAAAAAATCAGATCTGTTGAAAAAGAAAGCATGTTTCGTGTCTTATTTGAAAATCAAAATACTATCTTCACCAATTAGCATAAATAATGTCTATACCACAAACAATTACAATTGTGAGATAATTTCAGAAAATCCAAACATTAGAAAAAAGTTACTCAGTTTTTTTTTTTTAAATGCTTTATGTAAGTAAGTTTTTGGGGTGCATAAAAACATAGGATTAAGAGGTACGTGAGAGCTAAAATTATATTATTAACAGAATATTAACTAACAAAATTTTTTTTGTCAAAAAAGAAGAACAGTTCCATAATTATACAATTATATGCTTACATATCTATAGCAAATAAATGACCATATTACAATATTGATCAGTACAATATTAAATATTGTGAATAATTTTTCAGGGACTCAATAAAGAGGAACCTAAGAACTTTTAATCTTACTATAAATGATCAATTTTAAATAAATTCTTTATTTTCCATTCTGCTTAGAAAAAAAATGTGAAAAAAATTTAAAAAAGAAACTTACAATCGTCTTGCTGAAAAGATGTTGAAGGCTGTGGTAAATCTTTCTCAGAAGACTTTTTTCTCATATCTCTCATTTCATGAACATAATTGTCTTTTTTAAAAATACTGTAATTCCTTGATGCAGCTAAAAGTAAATTTAGACAGATGAATATCCCAGCAAAATCAATTAATCTTTTAAATTCATAAAAAATTTTGCTCTGTTAACAGAAATACTTGAGATTCTATTTAATAGAGTAATAGAGTATAAGGGAATAAAATAGAGTAAATAAAAGAGATTGCTCATTCAAATGAAAAATATTATAAGTTTTGTATTTATGCTCCCAAAACAATGCTAATTTTCAAACATTCAACATATCTTGCTCTGTATTTGACTTGGTCTGTATTTTGTTTATAAATGTTTGAAATGGTTACAAAAAAAGGCTTGATGACAAATTACTTTCATCAAAATTTTATGAAAGAAATTAAACAAAAAAAAAATTGAATTAACCTTTTCAGTACTACTACTACTCCATTGAAGGCATCCACAAAACATTTTTCTCCTACTATAGCTACTCATTGTACAGCTATTGCTCGTTTTCCTCGTACTTTTGCTGCCCATTAACAGCATCATAAAAATAAATGTAAGTTATGTGTCAACAAAAGTCTGCTCCTCTACAAAGGCCATCTGCATTTAAACAGTATATTCCATTGAAGATGAGAAGGTTTGGTAAAAAGTAATTACTTTTAATAGTATGTTATATGTCTCCAATATTTTCTTATTTTTCTCTATCTTTTCTCTTCTCCGGCTCTTTTGTTTTCCAAAATAAATAAATATCTTCAGAGATGTGATTGCTATAACATAAAATTATCTAACGAGTGTTTGAAACTCAATGGGTAGATAGTCTTTTTTAACGTTAAATTTTGCACAAATAGGTCATTTTTATCTAATTAAATAAAAAAGCATAAAATAATGGTCATTTTTTTCATTAGAATAATATTCACAAAATTTAAAGGAAGAAGAAAAAATTTTCATGCATCTAATTATTGTTTTTTCTTACAGAATCAACTTACAAAGCAATACATAATCTAATATAATCAGTGATGCTCTCACATTTCAGAAAAAAATAGCACATTTTCTCCTTTTCAACTTTTGCAAGTTGTAATTGTATTTAAAAAAAAAAGGGATTTCAAAAACTGCTAAAGCCTTACTATAGAGGTTGGTGATAAAAGCATGTGGGGAATTATCATGCGAATTTCGCATGTCATAATAATATGAAAAATATCAGGATTTTAAAAAAAATGTGAAAATTCATAGCAAAAACTGTTGTGAAAACAATAAAAATTCTGTATGGTTTTATCGTGGAATCAGCACAAATCAAATGCACCAGAAAGCAATTATTCAAAAGTACAATTTGAATTTAGTACATTGTAATTAGAAACATGTATGTTACAAAGTTATTATTTGATTAGAATTTCATGCATCCTAATATCTCATAAAAAATCAGGATTTTATTTTAGCAAAATAAAAAAGAAGAAAAAGGAGTTATGCCATATTGATTTTACAATCCATTTCTTACAAATCAGAATTAGTAACAATATCCCCACTGGTAGAATGTGTCATACTATTACACGAAGATCAAAGAAAAAAAATATTAATCTTATGCTGTATCTTAAATGCAAGTTTTAAAAAAATAGAACAAAGGAGCACTTTTGGACACTTAAAAACACTAAATGCTCACAGTTTTGATATAACTATTTTCATTATCATCAATTTTACAGATTTGTTTTTGGTTACGATAGTTGAGTAATTCTAGCTCAAGTCAGACACTTCAGAATTTTTCTTTCAGTCGGTGGTTCAGTTTAATTTCAAAATTGAGAGAAAAGTCGCATTTTGCTTTGACACATAAAAAGACTCGCTATAGTACTTGATCAAAATTTTTTAAAAAAGCACACCGAGAGCTATGGCAGAAAAAAAGGGATCGCTGTTGAGGAAGGAAAAACATTTCATAAGCAGAATTTTGTGAAAGTTTTGAAATTTTAAATTTGTGGAACTCTGCAAAAGTTTCTGAAAATATAAAATTTTGATTCGCAGAAGTCAGCGAATCAACGATTTTAATACATGTTGCTTAAATTCGCAGTAAAATATCGCATGCCTATTCTAACATTGCTAAAAAATGGCTGACTTCCATTCAAGATTTATTTAAAAAAATTTTTAAGGTTACAGAGCTGCACAAGCATTTTTTTCCCGTTACACGTAAAAACCAATTTCTTTGAAAATAATTCTGCATAAAAGTGAAGCAGTGTACAGTTCTGCTTTCTGCAAAAGATTTAATAAAAAGGCTGAGAAATAAAAATTTAAATGTAGAGAAATTTGGCTTATTCAGATATCACTTTAAAAGACTCACTACATTATAACTGGAACAAACTGGCCTTTCACGTAAATTTTTGAATAATTTAAATGCAATTGTGGGGCAAAACAACTTTAATACAAATGAATTAAAACAAAAATCATACACTAAATCATAAATTTTACAATCACTACAAAAAGTTTGCCCACATAGCAAAGCATGTTCGTATCTCTGATAGTATACTACGCACATTATGATATTGATAATTTAAAATATATACAAGTAAGATGTTTAAAATAAATATTTTTACATCCACCAATTTGCCCAACATCATTTTCCTCGCAAGCCTTCATCCATTCTTCTAAAGCTGGCTCCTTATTTTCTTTTAGAACATTTAATATGATATTTACTGAAAAAAAAAAACAGAAATAAATGTGTTTTAAAATACAATAATTAAGATTTTTATTATTATGTTGGTTTACTTCAAGATGAGGTATAAAAAGCAGTAATTTGAAGAAAACACTTTTTGAATTTTCTTCATGTTCATAAAAGACAATTAGGAGCGAAAGAAAATCTCAAATTTTCCTTTTAATAATATAAGGTTCAAGGTCATAAAAAATAGAGGTCCCTCAGTTAATGTGCGTGCAATAATGATTATTATACAGTTAAAAATATTATGATTTAGAAATCTGCTGAAAACATCACAAAAATTCAAATGATTCCTAACAAAATGATCACAAATACTCTAAAGATATTGGACTTTTAGACCATGAGCTCACAAAATTGGGTAAATTGTCAGTTAAATTTAAAAAAAAAAAAAAAAAAAAAAAAAAAAAAAAAAAAAAAAAAAAAAACAAGGATAAATAAGAACACCAAAACTACAATACTTGCAAGTAGGACTAGGAAATGTATGAAATTTTATATTGTGATAGATTGTTTGCTAGGCAATGCGATATAAAAACGCATCGTGATTTAACATAGGTTCGAAAATTATCGATCAGAAATCTTTAAATCGTTCAAAAATGAATCAAAGAAATAAATATATAACGAAAGGAAAATGTTATTTCTAAAAAAATTGCTTCTATAATAGTAATAGCATTGCTTAATTCATATAACATTAATACATCATCAACTTCAATAATATCAATAGCATTGCAAAATAACGTAAGTGCCGCTGAAAATACCGTTCGAGAAACGTAAAATCTCAAAGACAAAAATGGCCCATAAAAAAATTGGGCATTGCTTTATATTTTAACGCTAATCCTTGATTCTGATTCAATTCTCTCTTTGTCATTCAACAGCATGAAGCGAACATTGTCTTCGTAATCAGACGCAATCACATCTTTGCAGTTAAACAAGAACAAAATCCTCTTCATTAGCGTCGTGACGTAGCGCAGGTATGGGTCCTTGCGCATGTGGAATCGTTATGTCTTTAAACCACGAGGGTCTTTTATATCGGCCCGTCGATATATGCATTAAATAGATATTTTGCGATATATCACGATTTTTCGCCCGGTCCTACCTGCAAGATGAGCACAGGCATACTTTTCTTATTCTCGTTACTAAAACATTCGCAAAACTTATCTCGAAAGGCTCGTGCTCAGAATCTCACTTCAGCAGGAATTCATCCTGATTTATTTACTGTCCCTTTTCACAGAGACATGTGAAATGATCACACAATTTTATTGATCTCACAATTTTATTGAAGTAAGGAAAAATAGTAATTTAAATAATAAACTCACATCTATCATTAATATTTTCACCAGTTTTGTTTTTTCGCTCTTCATGCAGGCTAAAAAAATGTACAATATTATTCTTCCAATACAATAATACTAATGATACATTAATATTAATACTATTACATCATTATAATACTATTACAACTATACAATAATATTAATGATAACAAAGAAGTAATCAAAACTGAATATTTAATCAAATTCTTGGGTAAATGATAAATTACAAAAATTAATCAAATCTTGGTTTCACTTCATACGACTAAGGCTCTCAACATTAATTAATACTAAGGAAAGTGTCCAGCATTATCATGGAAGCAGTATTTGATATATTCATATAACAAATTTATAATCAAATCTTTCACTGCCTGCGATGCATTTAGTGTAATGGAGAAGAGTATAACTGTACTAACTAAGCAAAGTTCCTTGAAGCAGAGTGCGAAAGTATAAGCATAAAGTAAATGAATTTACAGCTAAAATAGCACAGGAATTTGTAAAGAAAATCATTGAGGTGAAGAGTAAAGATTTCTCGTCATAAATAGTCTGCTAATTCTGATGATTTATTGCAATCAATCCTTATTCACACATAAAAACTGTCTAGATCCTACATTTTTAAAATGTTTACAATATTGAGCAACTGTATAAGTTGGGACATTTTATACAAAGAAAATGTTCTGATTAAATATGTTCCATATGTATTATCTTAGTTCAATAACTCATTAATAATAATAATATGTAAAAGTCATAGAACTTAAAAGTTTTGCATTTGTTTTACTGACACAATTTCATAAAGAAAAACTTGAAACATCCATTTTATATAATATTCTAAAAAACATACTTAGAGTGAGAATTTCTCCACTTTGTAAAGAACCTGTGAAAAGAAAAAGAAAACCTTAAATTAAAATAATTCTGAACTCTTCAACTGTTATACTTTCAGTTTAATGATAAGCATTATTTACACACACATTTTCTATAAGAAATTAGATAAATAATGCCACATTTACTAAAACACTAATTATAAAAATTCAAATAAATAAAAATCAAATGCAAATGGTACAAAAATTAATTAAACAAATTATCCACTTTACTACAATATGTAACACACAATTTCCTTTCTAATTTTGATCATAAAACAAATGTGTTTAGTTAAAGTAATCAATGTAAATCAAATAATACATAATAGGTTAAATGTAAAATTAACCTGTGAGTAATACACTACTATTAATTCTCAAATAAATGAACAATTAGTTTTAAATGCAACTAGAAATGTACAAGGGCTGAAATGCTGTATTCAAAGTTTGTTCAAACACCTTAATTACGTTACCAGAAAATTTGTATCATACTCTTGTTCAAAGTACAGATAACATATTTCAACATTAAATCAATTTTTCTAAGAATGTATCATTATTAACATTCTAAAACATAAGTTAAATTCAAGTGCAATAAAATTTAGAAGCAGAATAACATACGAAACATTTATGAGCATTCACACAGCGCCAAAATAATGACTGATGCAAGAGCTGTAACTATGCCTAAGATAATGTTCATTTTCATAGCAAAAATATTTTTAGTAATTGCTATTGTACACTTTATTCATTCACACATTTCACTCGTACATTTTTATCAACATTTACGAATAATTTTTACTAAACTTAAGTTTTTTTCATCAATATTGAACAAGAGAAATTTATTTATTCAAAGTTTCTATTATTTTTTATTAAAAATATACAGATTTTAATCAGAACTGCCAACTTTCTTCACTTTTTGGGAAAATTTGGGAAAGTTTGCTTTACTGTATTATTTTTCTTTTGCTTTGTAAATTTGATTTAACGTCATTTTTTTCACCAAAACATGATTCAAAAGAAACAGCGAATTGCATTGGTGGAGAACTGGGTACAGAGATGAATTCGCCATAAAATAGTTGCATTCTTAGTTAAAACATACAAAAAAAACATACCACAATTTGAAAATATAATTAAATTTATCCACAGTTTTTGAATCAGAAATGACTAGACAATCTAAGAACACTCCAACGTTTAATAACCTTAGCATTATATTAAGAGATTAAAATGTATTATTGGAAATTGATCAAAACATGCAAGTTGATAACAATAGTTGAAGATCAATGACAAGCAGTAATGAGTTAAAGGTAAGAGTTAATAGTGTTTATTATAAATAAATAATGCAGTACTAAAAAATAACAGGTTTATAGAATTTCCAATACAAAAACTCCTTTCAAATAAAGATTTATCCTCATTCATGCTTCTTCTTCTTCTTCCTTATTCCCAAAGTTAGCAGGGCTAAACAATGTCCATGAAATTCATGACCTGGAGGAAGTCGGCCACCAAAAGTGGGTTATTCAGAATGTCCCCTTTGTCCAGACCAAGACAGTCCAGGATATGTTGGGGAGAAGCCTGCATGCTGTGGCACCAGGGGCAGTTTGGGTAGATTTTAACACTACCCTCGAAAGAAAGGGACTTAAGGTGGCCGCTGATAAGCCTGGTAAGTGCTGTCTGTTTCTTGCGATTGCACCGAATGTTGAGTGCACCTCCTGGACAGGTGCTCTGGTACCAGTGATTGTAAGAGTTAAATTAAATAATTGTTGGTGCGTATTAGATAAAATTATGTACTTATTAAAATAGATGGTTTGTAGATTGAAATCATTGAATATGTACTAATAATTGAGTTTGTATGTGTATTTGGATATAGTTATGCTAATAAATAGGTAAGATGATTGAAATGTCGTGATAAAACAAATTAAGGCCGAAATATATAAAAGGGTAATTAAATTAAATTAAGGGGAAATTGATCGTTAAGGAAAGTGGTAGTACAATGCTAATGTGGGATAACAATAACCCAATAGGTTCAAAGGGTCACAAAGTGTGAGGTTTGAACAAATTGGATAATTTGGTATCACCAAATTTGGAAAAAGGGCGAAACTAAAATAAATTAAATATTAAAGAAAAATAAGGTAAAGTCATGCTATATCCAAACAATATATATGATTTAATACAGTAAGCTGATGTTTCTAATAAGAAAAACTAATAAATTCACATATATGCATGCCCATAACAATAATTGAAAGGTACTCACCCTGTACACACAGGATATTTTAAAAGACAACCATCAAAAGAAGACAACAGAAACACACATTTTTAACTTGCGTTTAAGATTTATTTAAGAAAAATATCTAACAACATAACTAGTGGAAAGACGTCTTTAAAACAGTTTTTAACATTAGGAACACCTTTAATAAAAATGAGTGACACAAGAAATGATGTCATGCATAAAAAAAGGAAAGCGAAAAAGGATTTAACAACTGAAAAGACATATATAGAAAGAAAGCTTAATTTAAGAGGGTCTTTAATGGGGTATAAAATGTAGATGTATGATTTATAGAAGTTGACTACAATCAAGGATTTAAATTTTAAAAGAAAAAGAAGGTTAAGAAAAAGAATGTAAAAAACGATCCCCTCGATATGGACCGAAGTCCGCATCGCGGAGAATAAAAAAAAGCAATGTGCAAGAAAAAGGCACAGAAAGAGAATATCTTAAAAGTGACTTAAAAATTCCTTAACTAGTACCAGACCAGAAAAATTACGGCCAATTAAATTTAAAGAGGCGGAGAGTTTGAAATTTAAATGAAAGAGATTGGTTAGTTAGCCCCCCTAAAATTAAAAGAAGAAAAAGAAAGGCGTGAATAGAGGGGTTGGTTGACTTTCCCCACAGGAAGTGCGATGACCGCAATGACCATGAGAAAGGTCAACAAGAAAGTTAAAAATAAAAAATTGCTAAATTGAAAAAAAGGAATAACGTTTAAAGAAAAATTAAAGGCTTAGGTATAATTAAAAAATAAATTGTCACATTACATTAAGTGTAAATGTGACAGTGATGTTTGGGGGGAACGAGCCAGGAAGTCTTTTTTTCTTCTTCACATAGTCTTCCCTTTTCTTTTTTGATGCCAGTTCCATGGAGGTGAGTGAATTTGGACTCAAAGTTTCTTCTGTCCCCTCCTTAGCCAGCGTGTCGGCAATGTCATTGCCCAGGACCCCAACGTTGGCTGCCTCATCGTGGCGAGGGGGTGACCCTGAGTGAAACGGGCAATGTACGCCTGGAGTTTTACTCCTGGAAGGGTCACCCGAAGAGAAGGCCGTTCCATTACACTCAGCTGAAGTCAACAGGCGAAGGAGCCAAGTCAGACTTCTGCCAGCATGCTGCTCCAGTCATAGGACATCAGAAGCTGTATTATTACCCCAACCATGAAATTCATTCATGCTTACTATGATTAAGCACTTACTTCTTTGAATAATGCATACTGAGACTCATTTAGTTGAAACAAAAACTAAAATAAAACAAATGCTTACTCATTAAATATCCGTTGCTTAGTAAGATGCTTTTGTTCGGCTAATTTTTTCCCTCCAGTTTCTTCTGAAAAATATTTCATAAAATAAAAATCTAATGCTTAAAATAATACCAGTGATTCATTATCAATGCATTTAATTTTTTAATCCACTTTTTAAATTATCTATTAATAAAATTTTATATCATTTATTAAAATAAATAGATGAAATAGGTAAATAGGTACATAAATGAATAAATTTATTTGACACTGAAAATTGAACAAGGAAAGTCAAATGTTTGCTTGAATAATGTATTCTAATAGTATATTTTTTCCTAATTCTTTTAAATTTATACTTCATAACTAATTTAAGACCAATTTTACTTTATTCTGATTGGTGGTTTGGTTGATTAACCAAGAAAATGAGCAAACATTTGAATTAAAGATAAAATTTCAACAGAAGGAAATTCTAGGGAGATTATCATTAGTTAAAATCACTCAGTATTTTGAATTATTTATGTTCAAATTAAAAAGAGTGAACTGTATTAATGTATCAATTCATAAAAAGTAATAGAATTTCATTTTTAAGCTTTTACTGTTCAGAAGATTTTCCAAATATTCAAGCTCTGCATATAACTCTTTCTCTTCATCATCATCATCCTTACATTCCTGTGATTTTCTAAGTGTTTTCTTTGATTTTTGAAACTGTTCCTCTGGCTTTCGCTTTGAGGCTGACAACTCAGATGTCTAAAATAAACATTTTTACTCGAATGATCAAATTTTAGTGAAATGAATATTATAAACAAGCCACAATATATTTTGATACATTATGTCTGAAAAAAGCTTTTGATTCAAGGAAGAGGAAAGTACAAATATATCTAAAATCGGATTTATTGAAGCTAATTTAAAAAGTTTAAGAAAAAAATCTTAAATAAGGCATTATATATTTCCTAGCTTTGAAAATTTCCTTAATTTCTTCAATTTATTTTTTTAACCATTCTCAATTGAATTTAAATTAAATTAAACCAATTATTTAATTTTTATAACATTTCATAAAAAGCGAATATAAAATATTTTATTCTTTTCTTAACAATCAATGTAACATCTATCTTTTTTTTATTTCGATACTAATGTAAGATCGCCATTAAATTGAAACAAAAATCTATTTATAACTCTTTATTTCTAACCAGAAAAATTTTTCAGTTACATGGTTGTACTAATTCTCAGTCTTTTTGGTGACTCGCTTTAATCAAATTATTTTCAAATTTAATATTGATTATGGTGGAGGGGGGGGGGCTTTATTTTTGGCTATGTTATCTTTCAATAAATCACCAACTATATATCTCTTCCCACGCTCTTAACTGTCTGTTGGACCGAAGGCTTCGGCTTCCGAGTCTCAACCATTCAAATGATATCTTAATAGAAATTCTTGATGTTAAGAGAATGATTTTCTTGATCTCTTTGAGGGACTTTTCTTAATTTGTATAATTTTGGAATGTGGCCATGTTTAATTTAAGATTTAAATAATAAATCAATTTTTCCAAAACAATTTTATTCATTTTTATGGGAAATATCCCAACATTATATTAAAATTAAGATGAATCTAAAACAGCCAAAATACTTTAGCTCTAACAAAAGAAACTACATTCCAGTAAGGACTAATATCAAATTTGGGCTAAAACTGCTGCAATAAAATGGTGCCAGTATTGTTGTACAACACTTGATAATGGGCCATTTTGTGAAAACAAGATGTAAAACATTAATATTGAGCGGTATCTACCCAGTGACAAAAATGTGTTTCATTTTAATATTATTTCAATTGATTTTGTTTCAATTTCAAATTTTGATTGAAAATTTTGGGGAGTTTGATAAGTGATGAAATTTCTATATATAATAAATTCCTATCTTGGAAATGTGGTGACAATATGAAATTGATTTCAGAAATCAGAGAGTTTGCAGACCTACTGTGTATGAATTTAATTATTTTGAATTATTCACTCTGGATGCGATTTAATAATAGTTTTTTATTTCAGTTTTTTTTTTTAAAAAATATATAGTCATTATTGAATGTTTAATTATAGAAAGATTTATTATTTATTTCAAAATTTAAATTCCAAATAAATGCTTCAATTAGAGAAATAAGTTAGGGCCTCCATGTCATAAACCAAATTATTCAGAGAATTTCCCACTACATTGAAATATAATTGCATAATTCGTTGAAATATGAACCTTCTAGAACATCCTCCAATCAAATCATCCCCCTCTTTAAAGTTTTTTTTAAATTTATTTAACTAAATTTCCCGTTAAAAATTTAATGAAATAGTCTACAAACCTCAAGATAAAAAAAAAGGATTTTTTTCAACCATATTGATGTGAAGTGTCTGATTATTTGATGGAAGCCTCTGATATATGAAGGTAACCAATTTGAGAAGGAGTCTATACTTACAAGATTTAGGTCCAGAAAACTCGATTTGGCATTGCATTATATTGATAAAAAAATAATAAAAACTTTCAAGGTTAGCCTTCACAGAAATGTATGAGAATTCTATGATTAGTAAATTACTAGAAAAGGGTGTTTTTCAATAAGGATATTGACTATCCAACCACCAGGGTTGGCAAAAGTCAAGATTTTTTTAAAATTTTATATCAGATTTTTTTTAGTTTCCTTTTATACCAGATTTATTTATTTATTATAAGTATTAAAAGTACTTGCACTTAAACTTAAAACTAAATAAGTATAATTGAAATAAGTTTATCAAACAGCAAATTATTTTACAAACAGATAATGAAACATTCTAATTTAAAAGTTTCACAAAACTTTCATTCACATATTGTTTTTTTTTTTAAATTTATTTAATATTTAATAATAGTGACTTAATCTAATAAGTCAAAAAAATAAATAAATAAATAAAATAATAATTTACATGCATTTCCATCTTATTATTTCAAGATAAAATATTAAATATACATGGATCTATTCAGGATTCAAAAAACTTCACAACCTTATAAAGAATTTATAAATTATATATTGTATAGAATATATTTTCAACTTAAATCAGTGATTTTTTAAAAAAATCTTGTCATCCCTGTCAGCTGTAGTTGGAATTTAAACTTGAGCCATTATGTTAAATAAATCATAATATATTTTATGAAAAATTTAACTCGGGAGTATTCTGTTGGGAAACAGTTGATATCAAAAAATTTTTCAATGGAATAAATTCTGATGAATTTTCATATTTCTTCATTTCAACAACATTTAATCGATAATTTACAGATAAAATGACTGAGGGTTTTAATCAGATCAGGCTAAATATCTTCCCTAATTAATCATTCTAATAATATTCCATATTCTTTATTAATACCAGACAAGAAACTTTGTTTTCTTTGACTATTTATAACAAACAAATGACACAACATAAAATAATTCCTCAGAATATCAGATAATTTTATAATTTAAAATGATATGATACTACTCACTGTATCAAAATTTAATTCTTCACTATGAAGTGTGGATGGGGCAGATGAAATAGAAGTCTAAAAGCAAAATATACAAGTTAGAAATAAACAAAAAATGAGCAAACACAATATTCAAAAATAGTAGCCGATATGTCTAATTGGTAAAAATTTAAAAAACTCACACAAAATGTATAACTGCTAACTTTCCTGTTGCTATAAAATTATTGTATTGTAAAGAGTGCTTAATTAGCAATGCTCTACAACTTTTTATTAGAACTTCAAATAATATTTCTTATAAAATCAGTGTGTTTATCAACAAATCAACAATAAATTTTAAACTTCACATCAACTTAAATTTACAGTGACATAAATGCTAATAATATGTAATATCGCACCAAGGAGTTACACTGATATTATAAACACAAAATTTATAAAATTGATTTATTTAATGAGCACAAAATGTCAAAGCTTATGGTTGATCCTTAACAGTTAATAAAATTTTGAGAATTACACTTGCTTTCCCACAAAAAAATAGTCTTAAAAATTAATTTAAGGTAATAAGCTAAATGAAATTCTTTTTATCAATCAATTTCAATCCTAAAATATTTCAATACAATATTACAAGACAAAATGGCTCCATAAAGGGTAAATCCACTAATCACAGTGTCCTTTAAGAACATGTCATTTTTTCAAAGATAACTGTTTTGTTTTTAACATTTAACCTAATAAGAAATCATATAAACTGAAAGATAATTGCAACATAAAAATCTATATTTGAATCTGAACTCACACCTAAATATTTTTTTTTTAACTGTGACAAATAAAATGGGAAAATATTTCATTTGAAATTAATATACTATTTTTTTCATAGCAGCAAATAAGAGGAATGCAAATAAAGTAATGGCAACATTCCCAGGGTTCCCACTCAATTTCAGAAAAAAAATTCCCTGACTTTCCCAGGTATTGTAGTTAAATTTCAATGAAAATCCATACAATACTTTATCTATACTACGAAATTTTTCCTCAGAAAATTTGGATTCTTTTATTTGTTATTCCAAGTATTAGATTTTTTGAGCAAAATAAATATCATTATATGAGGAAGGAAGCATTTCAGTATGTCTAAAATGTAAAATTTTTACAATAAATAATTCTAATACAAGAATTATTTAACTTAAATCTCAATAACTGAGTATTGTTACAGACAATTTTAAGACCGTTTTTTTTCCAGGAATAATGAAGGAATTTTCCAGGTTTTTGTTCGAAAATTCCAACTTTCCCTAATTTTTTGGAGTTGAAATAAAATTCCCTGACAATTCCAGGTTTTCCCTGTTCTCCCTGATCCATAGGAACTCTGCATTCTAGAATAGACATTTAAGAGAATTTGCATTACATACTTTCAATATTGTTATGAGCAAAGTCTTGTATCTTTTGAAAGATGTTAGAAAGATATGACATAAGATAGTGTTAGCAAAGTGTTATTTGTTGATGTTAACAATGGAGCACATTAATGCTCAGATCCCAGACGACATGTCAAAAAATTCAATGCCTGATTCTTGAAAAATCCATGGAAAGCAAACATCCCACAACATCATTGTGATATTTAGAAATGGATGGCCAACTTGTAGGGTGCAAATCTGTGATCTCAATCTGACAAGCACAGAAGCACTTTGACCTATCATGTAACTGTCTTAAATGGTAACACATTCTCGTCAAATACTTCAAAAGATCTTGGATAACATTTAAATGCATTTTTGTTGAAGACAAACTCGATTTTAATCCATCTTGTAAACACACTTTAAAGTGGTAAAAATGCTACTGTTCAATGGGTCACAGCAACAACCCCTTCTACAGGAGCATCACTTTTACGCACTCAACATGTCAGCATCTATGCCGATATCTTGTTTGTGCATGCTTGATGTTCTGTGTATTTCATAGGCTATGTTACTACTCTTCTATGTTCATCCCTCACATAAAGTAGGACATTAAATAAGTTAAGGGACTTTAAATATAGTCACTCAAAAAGCAGATACTTTCTGTCATAATAAATAATTTATTTTACTTTAAAAATTGTATCAAACTTATCAGATCCATAAATGTTGTAAAATGACATTATAAATATTTAGGGAAAAACAATTTTAATTTCAAATGAATAAATTTTCTAAAGGGAGTTTTCACCATTTACGCTACCATTAATAATAGATTCATAGTGCAGAATAATTAATTTTAAATAAGCGTGATATATAAGTAATAAATTATTAAGCTAAATGATCACCTTCCATAAACCTTTACTTAAACCTTCCATAACTTGCTCTCTAACTTCCATCCAACCCTATAGAAAAATACATGAATATAAATAATTAAAAAACAAATAAAAATATTTTGCAAATTTAATAAATAAAATGTAAAGTTGTTTTGCAATATTACAAGACTATCTCAAACTTACTAGTAAAAAGGTTAAGTTTATTGTGATCAATTTAGTAAGTGTAAATTATAGACAAAATGTGATATAACAATGCTACAATATGACTTGGATACTTTTCCACAGAAATAGTTTCTCTGAAAGTGTTGCTACAATGTAAGAATGTTAATATATATGGTGGTTTAAAATTTCTTCAAAAAAAAAGAAGAAAAAAAATTAGCATATCATACAAATAAACTTTATCCTAAATTCTGTGATTCTTAAAATTTAAATAACAATTAAAACATTTTTTTCTCTTTATAAGGTGATTAAATTAAAACATGTTTTTCTCTTTATCAGGTGATTAAATTAAAACATGTTTTTCTCTTTATCAGGTGATTCAATTAAATTACTTGATTTTTCAACAAAAACCATCCTAAAAGCTTATCTGCGCTCTTTGGTAAAATTTTCTCGTTTCTGTAACAATAAAAATTTTGTCAGTATAATGTTGAAAAACTCAGTATACAGAATGCTAAAAATATAGCCGAAATTTTTTTAAAAATGATAAAGGGCTCAAAAAATAAGAATTACTAAAACAGAAAATGTAAACAGTTCCACCAAGATAATGTGAGATCTCATACAAGTGTGTTAGCTTGCCAAAAGCTTTTATAGCTTTCATGGGGAGTATTACTACATCCACCATATTTTTATGACAAGGGACCTTTCAATAATTATTTGGTCTCTACAAAAAATTTTATATAGCAAAATTTTAACAAAGATAACAAAAGGTGTTGAAATAAATTGTTCAATAAAGTATTTATATTAGAAAATCGCTTTTCACTTTCACCGAAATGAAAAAAAAGAAAGGGGAAAAAAAGAAATTGCTTCATAAACAACCCAACACTATGAAAGCTACATTTTCCTATGAGTTGTTTACAGAACTTATACTTATTCCAAAATATAAGCAAAGTTATGAGTCCTCCCTTCCAGATAAGAACTATCACTTGATACAGTGAATTAGCAAGAATATCAATTTTTTTGATAATAAAGTTAAAATTTATGCAATCACAAATGCTAAATAGTTATAAATATCTCAAACACGTGTTTGCAGCAAGAAGAAATTATTAGAATTTTTTTTCAATGGGTAGGTTTTTTGATGTTTTTATTTTTTAAAGCACCTAATTTTTTTTTCATATGTCGAAGGTAAATAAAAGACTCATTTTTATGCACAAAAGTAACATTTATAAAATTTAAAGAAAGAAATTAATATTATTTTTTTTTTGACAAATTATTTTCTTGTCAACACTTGAAAGAATAAGTATACATTGAAAAAAGTTTTATATTCCTCCTTTTTTGCACTTTGCAAGTCATCATCACATCGAAAAATAAATAAATAAAATAAAAACTGCGCAATAAAATAGTGAATACTCAGGTGTGTGATTTGAATTTCTTGTATCATAATAATAACCGGACTTAAATCCATGTGAAGAGTAACAGCTTTAACAATCAAAATAAAAATGATAATAATAAAAATAATAATAACAGCTCGAAACGCCCATGGATTTAGTGCAAACCAAGCACATCAAAAAGTATTTACTCAAATATGCGATGTGAATTTCTTATTCCTTAATAATATTAGGATTTAAAAAAACATGTGAATACAAATAGAGCAATAACAGAGAAAAAATCGATCAAACGCCCATGGATTTAGTGCAAACCAAGCACATCAAAAAGTATTTAATCAAATATGCGATGTGAATTTCTTATTCCTTAATAATATTAGGATTTAAAAAAACATGTGAATACAAATAGCAATAACAGAGAAAAAATCGATCAAAAAAGTAGTAGTATCACTGCATCAAAAAATGATTAATAAATACCCAAATTGAACATTTTATGTCTCAACAATAACATATAAAAAATACGAGGATATATTAAAAAAATTTAGAAAATTTGTTGCAATAATGGCAGATAAAACAATCAAAACACCACACAGTTTAGCGATCGTATCAATGCAAATCACGCTTATGGAAAATATATTACTCAAATGCACAATTAAAAATTTTTGCGGCGAAATAATATCAGAACTTCAAAAATCATAAGAAAATCAATTGCATTAACTGCAAAAGAATAAAAGATTGAAAGACAAATTTACGATGGTATCAAAAACGCTGAAAAGGGACAACTAAAATGCAGGATTCAAAATTTCCTGGCTTTAATATCATATTAAAAAGTAATTAGTACTAATCATTATTAAAATATAAGTTTAAAAAAAAAAAAAAAAACTTTTTTCTAGCAAATGATGTTTTAAACGTTTGCCATTAATTTTATACTTCTGTGTAGGCCTCAGTAGTTAATTAATTCTAGCTGAAGTTATTTGAGTTTTTTTTTTTCAGTCTCGTGTTATCAAAATTTATCTAAAGTGCATTTTTCTTTCTGCGTAAATAAAGACATTATTGTGTGTGAATGAGAACTTAAGAAACAAAAAGGGTGCTCGTAAGGGCAGAATAAATGTCTCATTAACGAGATTCTGCGTAAGTAAGTAAGTTTACATTTTAATTCTAGTGAAACTCTGAGAAAATTTTGTTGGAATATAAATTATCGATTCACAGAAATCAGCTAATTAGAAGAAGGATCACATGTTAGAGATCTAAATACGATTGATATTAAAATTATATACTACATATTTGGCAAAAGAACAATTTCTATTATTTTTGTAAACATGTTGAAAGCCAAACTAAAAATATTGAAACTTAAAATTATCATCTTAGACAACTGAATTAAAAAATAAAAAAAAGTTTGTTAATCTATAAATATTATTTGATTAACTTTCTGGTCAATTATGTGACTAGAAAAAAGAAGAAATTTCAGAGATGAATTACTTCAGAATAACTGCATACATCCAAAATTTCTATCAAACTCTTCTTGTCTTAATTTATTCTGACACAACTTATGAATACTGAATGTGCTAAATTTATAGATAGAGTATAATATGAACTTACTTGAAATCTATGAAAAATGTCTGGAATTTGGTAGTCAGGCATTCTTGATCCCTGAGACATGATTGGCTTCAAAGTTTTTGAATTTTAATTAAGGTGTCCAAGTTAAATACTTCGTATCATAATCTGTAATTGTACCAGATGAGTGCAAATACTAAAAAAAAAAATTAAAAAAAATAAGTAAAAAAATTAAAGTTTTCTTTTTAAAATTGTAAAATATAGATTCTCTCATACTTTTTTACTTGAATTACTGAAATTTCATAAAGAAATTCTATGGAGTGATTGGGTACTATGCATTGTGATTTCATTATAAATGGCTTAAGAAGGATTCCTTTTAATTTACTCAAGAAGAGATTCAGTGATTCCTTTCTATTTACTCAGAACTGAAGAAAAAAAAAAGCATCATAGAAAAGCATTACAGCACCAAGATTATAGGTCTTTATCAATCATAACCTATAAAATAATACAATAAAGTATAAAAAGAAACATAAAATTCTATTTATTTTGACTTAATTTGTAGAATTATGAAATTACAAAGTGAAAAGCAAATAATTTTAAATTCAGATCAAGGGAAGATTTCCGGTATCTGTGGTAGAATAATCGCCAAGTCTTGGCAACTTTCGGGCAGCAGCCAGCGAGAAAGAAAGAAAAAAAAACATCACAGACAGTACACTAACTCAAAGGTTATAGATTCAACTCGTAGCCACGCCAGGCATATCCTTATAAGTTTTTTTTTCTTCTTTTTTTTAAAATTTCCTGTTTAAAATCAATTTGACACCTTGGCGACTGCTATTTTTGTGGCAGATCACGATACAGACATATCCCCTTTGAACTCAGAGTAAACGAAAAAATATTATTAATATCATCTATCATCCCATATCATTAATATCCCACGCATTTAAAATTCGTATATGGAGATTATTTGTATTTTAGTATTTCGTTCAGTATCAGTAAAGCTTCTAAACGATAATTAATTGTCCTATTACGTAAAACACATCTTACCAACCGGCGTTAAAGTTCAATTAACAAATTTTTAAATAAAAAGAACAAATCAAGAAATAAACTAGAGATGAAAAACCTAATTTTAATCTTGAAAAGGAGGGAAACAGAGAAAGTGCACTAATTACATAATAATGCAAAGATTATTACATATAAATAAGACGAAAAAAAAAATCCTCTTTTCAAAAAATTGATGGCTATTTGCATGCGAAGCTCTAAACGATGTTTACAAAATTTTCTTTAAATTTACCAAATACGGTTTAATCTAACTCTCTAGCAAAAACAAACGTTACAATAGCCAACAGGCAAGTGAGTTGCTTAAGCAGCCCTCGCGTTTTTCAAATGGATGGATGACCGTTTCAGGCTAAGCACAGATGGCGCTAAGGGTAAAAATTCGTCGAAAGACTTCCGGGTTACTACTCTCGATTGAATTTTACGCCAATGCTTGAAAAGTATTGGACTATTATAGTATATAACAGTCCATACCAGAACTTATATTTTTCAATAAATTTTATTGCTAAAAGCTCTTTTAATTATCATGGAAGCGATTATTGACGATGTACTTGAAGTAGGCGTTGAGCTGATAGCTGAGGTTCTGAAAGAAGAACTAGAACAGAAAAAAGGTGATTTAAAAGCAAAATAATTTCTTTCGTTTGCTTTCAAAATTTCATTAGTACTCGGAAATATCTAACAAAGAAATATCTATCAAAATTTGTCAAAATGAGTTTGAAAAGCTTAGCGTTCAAGCTATATAATTTTGAATTTTCAAATATTTAAACATTTGTAATTAGTAATATGCTAGTTTTTTTTTTCATTCACTTTTAAAATTCAATAATAATTTGTAACTTTTAATATCTCCACAGAGGAAATTAGTTTATAGGGAATTAGTTTATTCGCATAATCTTTGTTATTTATGTCCTGAAGACAAGGATACGCTTGAAAAATTTCAAAAAAAAAAAAAAAAAAAAAAAATTATCACTAGAATTCCATTTAAAACTAGTCATAGTTAGAAGATTAAACCAAGTTCAAATTTAAAAGATAAAAATTCAGGATGCGTCAGAATCAGCATGTGTATTTTGTTTACTAAATGGTTGCTAGTTAAGGTTGAAAGTATTTGGAAACTACTATATGACACGTTTCAACTAATCTGGTTGCTCCACTAAAGTTGAAAGGTTTTAACTTCAGTTGCTAGTTGAAAGCAGCCGGGCAACCATTATATGACACGTTTCAACTTCACCGAAACCACTAGTTGCTTTCAACTAGGTTGCCTCGTGTCATATAGCCTATTCAAAGTGAAGCAAACAGCGAATTTTTACACTATCATAGCCAAATAAGGGACAACACTCAAAACTTGTCAAACCTTACACTTTATTTATGTTGTGATATCAATTGTCTTTCTTATATTTGTTTTACTCTCACGACCTGTTGGAATTTATAAATGAATGGCTCAAATTTAAACACATATCACAGTAATAAAGCTTCTTAGAATATTAAGCCTGTTCACACATCGCTCGTAAGGATAACATAAGCGGAGGGATACACCGGAAACTTTTTAAATTTTTTCAGGTTTTATGATAAGCTTGTAATTGTTTACATTCAGTCAACCGTCCATAGATAAATCCAATTGGCTAATTTTTATCATCCTTGACATTGCTGTTGCTTATTGTTCATGCTTACCAGATTTAGCTACTTTAGCCTCGTTTTTTTCTTTTTTTTGTGGTGTTTTTGAATTTTTTTTGGAGTTGCAAAATTCCTGTTAGTATTTTCTGACACGTTGTCTGGAGAGTACTAGGATTATCCATTTTAGTGGCATGGGGATCATGCATCTCATTTATTTTACAAAGAAAAGAAATGTGTTTCAATGAATGAGCACATTCAGATCCATACGATTCCCAAGTACTAACACCTACTATTAGATAACACCCGAAAACCAGTAAAATTTAACATTATCATGCACAACTTCAAATATTAGAAAGATACAAAGAGTCGCTGTTTGCTCTGCATTATATAATATTAGATTCTATGTAAATTAATATTATCTAGCGTTCACCGTAACATTATTTTGCATTGGTTTTGATGATATATAATATTAGATATTGTATTTTCCGATTTTATCGTACCTTGCATTTTATTTTGGAGTAAGCAAGGGGAAGATCTGGATGGTCGTAGTATCGGTAATATAATTTTAATTAATTTTCTATATTGTTGTAAAGCAGGAAAACATGGAACAATAGTTTTATGATGTCATTCAGTGCATTATTTTCTTAGCAATACAGAAATATAAAATAAAATTATTTTACCGAATTCTGCTACCATCCAATTTTTCCCTCTTACTCCAAAGTATATATTATATTCAGACAATTTTTTTCAATGCTTCAAATTAAATTAAGAAATAATACTTGGGTACCTAAATTTTTATTGAATTTTTTTTTTGTGTTCTATACACAATGAGTTTTTTTTTACATATAAATTTTATGACATTAATCATTTCCAAGTGTTTATTTTTTATTTTCAATATATTCCTAATATTTTTTTCTTCTTCTTTAAGAAATGAACCAATTTAATCGATCAATACTAGAAACTTGACTACAGCCTCTGCATAATTTTTTAAATTTTCTTTTTCTAAAAAGCTCTGTTCAAAATTTGTACTGATTACACCTACTTTTTTTACACCTATTTATGTCATAACTCATAATCTATAATCAGCGAAAAATACAAGCAATGGAAGTGTTTTAAACAAAAATCTATTTTGTTATAGCAACGCTCTCAAAAGAGAAATTAATTGTAGTCAAATTTTGGTCATTCATACTATAGGCAGCTTTTAAAAGATAATGTAAAATATGTTATATTTTTTCGTCTCATTCTCGTATGCAACTATATGTTTGTGCAAATTAATTTAGATAAAACATAATATTTACTGACACTAATGAAATTAAAATGTTATGTGAATGTTTTTCTAAGATTGTTGGTTTAGTACATACTACCTTTAAACAATTATATCGACAAACCCAATTGAGATTTTAATAAAATTTGCTCATTTCTAAAAAAAAATAAGAATACATTTCAAAATTAAAGACTCTATGATTATTAATGATATAAAATCATTGCTAAGTAAATAATGTATGGAATGACATCATAAAATTATTCTTCTGTGTTTAACTGCTTCACAGCAATGCAGAAAATTAAGTAGAATTAAATCGCCGAATTATTCTACTACCATCCAAATCTTCCTCTTGCTTAATCCAAAAATTAAAAGCAACGCAAGATAATATCTGAAAATTCAAAATCTAATATTATATAGCAGCAAAAGTAATGCAAAATAACGTTATTACGGCGAACGCTAGATAATATTAGTTTGTATAGAATCGAACGTTATATAATGCAGAGAAAAAATCGACCTTTTGTATTTTTCTAATAATAGAAGTTGTGCAAGATAAAGTTAGATTTCACTGATGTTATCTGATATTAGGTAGGTACTACTTGGGTTATGTCATTTTCCTTGGTTTATAAATACATTAGAAAATGTCACCTGATTTTTCCATTAAGCTAATTTATATTTTATGAAGAATAAATGCAAAATAAATTGGAGTGAATAACTCACAGTCAATCTGAGGTAAAGACATTTTTTTAAATTGAGTTATTTATAATTGTTCGAAATTTCACATACGTTCCAATTTATATTTTAGGAGGAATGACTGTATGATCAATTTGAACAATTGATTAGACAAATTTTTAATGCACTTATGTCTATTAAGTTGATGAACTGTACTTTATGTCCCTCATTGCTTAATTATGTTTAATTTCCAGAGAATCCTTAGAAAAATAAATAAATAAATAAATTAAAATAAAAGAATGAATAAATAAAAATAAAATTTAAATAAATAAAGATAAACAAAAACAGCAAAATTGTTATTTTTTCTGCAATTTTATTTTGAAGAAAATTTTGCCATGTTAACAGTTATTACAAACGGTTTCTTCAGTCCAACCTACAAAATTATAGACTATAAATTTTGTCATCAATACAAGTTGCAATTTCATCGTCCATGCAGCAAGGAAAAAAAAATAATTAGCACTATCTAAATAGTCTGCTGTAAAAGAAGGAAAAATAAATATGAGATACAGCATATTCATTATTTTAGAGAATAAAGAAAATTCGTAAAAAATGGGAACTGTGAAATAATGGAATACTAAGTTAATATATTTTAATTCTTAACGTATAATTTTTTTGAGAACTTTGTAAAGGTAAGGTATACAAATACCAATTTGGGACAAATTAATACAAATACAGATAATGCAAATTCGTGAAAATACTTACTCCAACCACTCTTTCAAGCTAAAAATAATAACAGATTATTGCAAATTAACAAATGTTTGGTAACTTAATTAATAACAAAATTCGATAACTTAAAAGCATGACAAATATAAATAAAGATGTTTAAACGTTTGTCCTGAACTATTCATGAGTTATATCTTCTTGTCATGAATTGAGGCAGCGCGTTACAGTGTAATATGCCGAAGATTTGTTCTCCTACAAAATGTTTTATGTTTAACATGATGAGCGCCGCGTCAGCCATCGGTGGCTGACACTGGGCTTTCCATTTAGACCACGTCAACCACCGTTGGCTGGCACTGAAATTGCATTTAGGCTGCGTCTGCCACCGCTTGCTGACACTGATCTTTCACATAGGCTGCGAAAAACAGCTGGCTGACAGCGTATAGCATGATATAGAACTATTAAATTTACACTCTTTTATGGAATTGCAGAAAATTTATTCAAAATTTACTTAATTATTGTGATTCTTGGTTTAATAAATTCAATATAGTAGATTTTTATATCCACCACTACTTTTAAACAATTCGTAAGCATATATAATTCACCACTTATTTGAGATATGACTAGTGATGGGCGATAACAGGTATTTTCAAATAACAGGTTCCAGCTGTTCCGATACAAAATAATACCTGTTCCAAATACCTGTTCCAAAATAACAGGTCTTAGAAAAAAATCTTCAACTTTTTTATANAGACTCCATCTAAAAAAAAAAAAGAAAAAAAAAAAAAAAGAAATGAGTTCAAAGTTTCCAAGATACGAGGAGGGGGGGGATTCATAGAGTGGCACACGTTTCATAGGCGGTATTTGTTATAAATATTATCGTAGAATGTTTTTCAGATCCTATACAAGACTGCCTAGGCATGGTTTTTGAATGCAGTTCTAGTGACACCACGAAATATGTAAAAAAAAAAAAATAATAATAATAAAAATTTTAAAAAAAAACTGTATATAGAAATATTAACTATTGAACTAGAGAAAATAAGCTATAGATAAACATTTTTCGAATAATTCATTTGATTTTAGCAAAGTTATCTCTATTTAAAGCAGCTCTAAAAAAAATTATAATACTAGAAATGCAAAACTTGTATAGACCCTCGCAATGTCCTGGCTACGACACTGTAATAATAAATAAAACGTGATTTTTTTTTATTATTATAAACTCTACAAAGATTGCTAAAAAACAGTTTAACATTTTAAAAAAAGTAGAAAAATACATTTTTGCCAAGATAATTGAATAAAACTTTTTGCCTAGTATTTTGGAACAGGCTTTTTGAAGTAACCTGTTATTTTTATAACAGGTATGATTAAATAACAGGTTCCAAATACCTGTTCCATAAAATATTGGACATCTCTATGACCTGCTAAGTCTTTATAAACTAGCAAAATATGTCTAGATTTGGAAATGTAGTTTGTAGTTATTTACCGCGGCATTCAATGCGTTAAATTATTTATACGTATATTAAGGATAAAGAATGTTCGACTCACATTTTGCACTTACCATTCCCCAAAGTGAATGCATCACAACGGTTCATTTCTGTTAAATTTGTTGTTTTATTATGTTGGTAGAAGTTACTATTAGTATCAATTAATTACTCTTTTGTTATATTATGAAATAATTACTAGAAGAGGGTAATCCCTTGTTGATTCCTGAAGTTTCTTGACTTCATTCACTCTTCGTTTCTTTCGATCATTGAATAACTAAGCATACACTGTCAATTTTTAATGAGGATTTTTCCAAGAATTAAAATGCAGTCATTCAGAGATGCCAATTGCTCCGGACCAGGCAAAATATTTTAAAAGAAAGCGGGAGATAACAACAAACTGAAATTTACAGACCCCAAGAATCATACACAAAAAGATTACCACTCGAAAATATTTATCAGTTGTCCAGAGCAAGTTGGCATCTTTGAGTCATTATAGCGATATAAATTTTTTATTTTTTTTTAGTTAGTAAGAGCATAAACGCACCATATTATGGCGCTGCCAACCTTCGATGCTTTTTGAGAAAATTTCTTTAAGTGAAAAATTAAATTATGTTTTAATGTATGATTTTCTGTTTTGTAAGAGTGACTTAACACGTTCACGCCGGGGTGACCCACCAGTGGGTCACGCTAGATTGTCTCATCGGGTGGCGCACCGGAGTAAAAACTGGTAACAAATAAATTTCATTTTTTAGTTTTTTTCCGAGAATAATAAAAAACCTTAACTACCAATTGTTTTTAACGGATGTAATTTTTATATTGAATTGCTTCCTCGCCGTGATAAAGTTCCTTACAGTGAATTGTTATTGTTGAGAATAGATTAACTCCTCCCGAATATTATCTAATATTTAAATACCTTCTACCTGTATTTTCTCTTTTCCGTCCCGCTATCAGGCGCAACACCCGGCGTGAATTAAACACCACATATACAATTTTCAAATATATATGATAAAGTTATTTCAGTCACTTTCAAAACAGAATTTGAATTCATGTGCAGACTTTTAAATAGTCTGATCAGACTACTTATAAAATCCGTGTCGAGGCTTTCTGATGTGTAAGGTGATGGACCCCAAATGGAAGTTTCAGGTTAGTCCAGAATGTGGCTGTTCTAGTGTTAATGTTTAAAAGCATTTAATTTTGCATTTCTCTAGTGGTTTACATTTCTAGTGATTTTTAAATTAGTGTTGCATAACTGGCTACACTGTACCGGAAAGGGTTAAACGGGAAACATGGATCATTTTACTTACCCCGTCTCCTGTATCCTTTAAAAAATAGAAATAAACTGTTATTTAAATTTTCAAAGCAAAATTTGCATAGTTTAAAAAAAATTATAAAAAGAGAGGAAATCTCTTAACCATTAGTCACATTGATTTTGATTAAAAAGTATAAGGCAGGGATACATTGAAACAATATCGAAAAGGGAGGAGGAAACATATCGTCGCTTTGAAACTAAACCGTTGTAACTCAAAAAATGAGGTTTTTGGATCATTTTGTGTAAAAAAAAGTCACCCTTTTAGAAAAACAACCTGTTGTCTTTATAGTTCCATAAAGTTAATTTAGAGAGCAGATAAATCGTCATGGCATTGCCGCGATTAGCATTAGCGCGAAAAGTTTGAAATCGCTCTCCTGAAAAACTTGCTTTTTTGTGTTACCACGGCTTAGTTTCAAAGCGACGATATAGTAAATTTCGTAACCAATTGTACTTGTAAAGTCAAAGAATCAGTTAATGCCGCTTTGCCGCAACGTACTGATTTTCGCGTTATTTTCAACGTCACAACGTAAGCATTTGATCCAGAAACCAGTACAGATCCGTGGCCCGGGTGTTGAGAGGCCATTGGGTTAGGTTAAAGGATAAAGAAATATTAAGATGAGAAATAAATTTTCGTTTCTGTTCACTGTTGCATGACATTTTTGATCGAATCTTAGATACGCTGCAAAATTTGCTTAATGTCGTAACTATTTCTTCTGAACTATAATTATTGTGTACAGTGAATTTCATAAAAGCCAATTTCTCGCAAAAAGCTGTTCGCAGAACTGCTGACTTTTAAAATCTATTCAGTAAAGATTTTAATAAAAAAGGTTATACAAAGCGATTAATGCCTTACGAGCGTATTTGGAATGATTAATTCTGTTAAAATACAATTTTGGCTGCAGTTGTTATAAGCGATCGCCAATCTTTTAATACTCATCGGTCACCATACAGAATTTTTTTTATTTCCCTTACTATTATTATTTTTTTTTTTTTTTGGAAAAGGGTAAAAGTTTTATCTTACTCCATTCACAACAAAATGACGTCTTTCAGCTAATTTTAAAAATTGCACGAATTGAAAAGTTAATGAAAGTGGCAAATTTCCAAGGAAACACACTGTATATTTTTAATGTAATTTTATTTTCTAGCTTGGTGACCTAAGAAAGAAAAGTAAATTGATGGTAATAATAAATTAAAGTTTCTTATTAGTTGCGATAAGAGAAATACTCGTCAACGATACTCGATCAGGAAAGGCAAGGAACTTTACTGCTGTAACCAAAATGAAATTCCACATATGTTTTGACACTCATATCGCGAACTACCATTTGGCGACGGCTTGTTAAAATGACAAAATCAACTCCTATGATTGGCTTCTTAAAAGCGCATTTTAAAGGGCAAACTTATGGTCACTACCGGCCACACGGTGACTAAATATAGGAAGTCAGGATTGAAAATTGTTGACCAGTCATCATGTCACGATTCGTCGAAAATACATCCCATGTGCATTACTGTTTTTAATGAATATTGGATTATTATAAATATTTAATAATCTAAAAGCTATTTTATTTCACGATGGCTTCTAAAAATTTAAAAAACTTCCAATTTTTTAAAAAGTAAAGATATATATATATATATATATATACATATATATCTTACACGCACACACACACATATATATATATGTATGTAAAATTATGTAAGGATTTATGAATGAAGGATAAAGTCTATAAACGGCTTTCTATCCTGGCAGACTGACTTTTAAATTAATTTCCCTATGAGTGATTTTTTTTTTAGTCTGCTAATTTAATCAATCCGTTAAACATTTTTATTATTATTTCAATTTTATTACATTTTTACTAATTTTTTCTCATAGATGGCAGCACTAATATTTTACTTAAAAATTTTTTTTTCTTCTTCTTCGATCAAATATATATATATTTTTTAATTTTATTTTATTCGATTCAAGCTATAAGCACAACTTCCAATATTTTACATCTTCGCGATTTTTGTTAACTGTTTTATTATTGTACTTTTAAACCTAAACCGCGTTTTAATTCACGCCGGTAAGTTTGATTTCTTTTTACATTTTTCTTTTATTTCATGATTTTTTACAACATAAGGTTTTTTGCGATATCGACACATATAAAGAATAATTTTTATCTTAGGATAATTATTCTTTATTCAGAAATATCGCATT